TAGCCGTACTTAATATTGATGGCTGAATTGTAAATGAAATTTTTAGTTTGCAATGCCTAAAGTATTTGTATTTCAGACAAAACCAAAAGGTGCCTTACTGACTTGCATGTATTTGAACCTGAATGATTACTAGATCTTGATCTGATGAGACCTGTGTACTTAACAGGCTTGAGTCGATTGGGCCAAACCTAGATCTAAGTACGGCTAGACTGGCAGTCTAGCCGTACTTTTTGGTAGATCTAGTGGCGATTGTCAAGATTTCCGCGTTTAATTCCGATGTGCGTTTTTCATAGCCTCAGGTATGTTTCGCTTTGGTCAGGGTTTGGGTTAGGGTCAGGGTCAGGGTTAGGGTTAGGGTTAGGGACCAAAGCGAAACATACCTGAGGCTATGAAAAACGCACATCGGAATTATACGCGGAAATCTTGACAATCGCCGATCTAGTGTCAATTCAACTGACAAAAATTGACTTTTTGTCAATTGCCACCGAGTAAATTGGAGCTCTTTTGCGTTAGTGGGTAGATCTAGACATCTAGATCTAGATCTAGCTTATTGTGCGAGTGCTCGGTATTGTGCGTTCGCCTCTCTGTCCCTCTGTGTGTGTGTGTGTGTGTGTGTTTGTGTGTGTGTGTGTCTTTTCCTGAACCCTGTCCCCCGATTTATGTTCCCCAATATAACGTGAATTTCTGCTTGCGTTTGTGTGCGTTTGTGACCTTCTACTTCTAGAATTGCCTGTGTTGATTCTACTAAGGCTAAGGCTAGCCTAGATCTAGGCCTACATCTCATTGAAAACACGCCAAGTTGGTACCGTAGCTCTAGACTAGATGCTCGTCCAATGAAATTAGTTAATAACAAATTGACCCATTAGACACACATAATGAATAATGCTAAAGATGGTGTTGTTTTCAGACTTGCCACCACTTCACTCGGTGGCAATTGACAAAAAGTCAATTTTTGTCAATTGCCACCGCGTCACTCGGTGGCAATTGACGCTACCAAAATAAATAGATCTAGATCTAGAAATCTAGACTCTAGATCTGATCCTCTTTTATTTTCGGAGTGATTATCCGTACAATTGTGCGAACAACTCTGTCTAGTTATCCGTACAATATTGTACTGTACAATTGTGCGAACAACTCTGTCTAGTTATCCGTACAACGTTGTACGCACAATTGTACGAAGTGCTGCAGGTATCCGTACAATAGTATGCCTGTATGCCCACAGGCCTACTAGATCTAGATTTTACCTACATGTTCTGTCTTAGTAGATCTAAAAATCTAGATCTAGATCTAGATATCTAGACTTAGACCTAGAGATTCTAGATCAGTGTTTCCGAATACCACCAGCTGAAATTTTTTAATTTTTCGTCAGACCTCATCTGCCGATCTGATGCCAGCCGCCTCATGCCTCATGTAAAAAACAAACAAACTAGATCTAAGTCTAGATCTAGACTCTAGATAGATCTAGATCTAGTCTAGAAATGTGTGTTGTGTTGAAATCATGCTGTAAAGATATTTAAGCTTAATCTACCTCCTTCTGTTGATAGGTGTTCTGATGGCCGAAATGACAGCGTGTCTGCGTTAGAAGAAGTATTATATTTTGAGTGTGGGTTCGAATCCCGGTCCCGGAAGCACAAAGTCCTATCTTTTAGCATTTGTTACACTCTGCTCTTAATGCTGGACAATCTTGGCTATTTTTATGTGAATCCTATCCACACCTTGTGCATTTCCTTTTTCAAGACTGTTGTTTTCTATCCTTTGGATATTGTGCCCTTTTATCACTTGAAAACTGCTTCTTTTTCTCTTCTGGAAATGATTTCTTTCTGTCCTTTGACATAACTTTGTCGACGGCTAATTTTTTCATTTCATTTAGCTTGACTACGCCAGGGCAAAATTGACTTAACTCGACTAGTTGACTGTGAGCCCAAGATTGACGCTGTGACCCTCACCTACCAGTCACTCGTGACTCTCGACTCTCGGTTACCTAGCCTAGCCTTGATCAAGACCAGCCTCCCCTGCCCTTCAACGGGGAGTTGTCAACGTTGGTGGTGGGTGGGGCAAAGTCAGAGCAAGCCAATAAAAAAAAGTTTTGATCAAGACGGTGACCTAGGCCCGTGCGCGTGTGTGTGTGTGTGTGTGCGTTTGCGTGTGTGCACGTGCGCTTGTATGTGCATGTGTGTGTGCGAGGCGAGGCTGGCTGGCCTGCAGCGTCGCAGTGCAGTGCTGGTGCGCCAGTCGCAGTCACCGTCACTGGAAGAATTACTGTAAAACTAATGATTGTGTCTTCCGTTACTTTGTTGTCTTCACTGTAATATTATATAAAGCATTCGTTCAAATTCCAAGAGATCAGATTTGGTTGTGCAAAAACATGTGTAAATAATTATGAGATCGAAACAGTTGATTACACATGAATATTTAGGTTATATGAATTATTTTTAAGCTCAATTCTGATTTTTAAAACGAAGTAAGATTAAATGAATTTTGCGCAGAAACAAACTTTTAAAGGCTAACAGTAACCTCACAATGTTTGTTTTCCGAAACCGGAAGTCGAAGAGCTAAAAATAGAAGTAGTCAGTCCAAAACCTATGACCCTGTAGGCTATAAGAGCATAGGAAGTGGTAGCTTCACTCTATGTAAAGTCAAGGTCAAAGTCACAGTCGACTTTTAGAGTTTGACGAAAACGTCGAGTTGACGTTCCGACTTTCTTATTCGCCGACTTTGCCCATGCTTAAGCTTGACTTGACTTGCCTCATAGGCTCTTGCTATGTCTATTGCCTTCTTGAGATCTAACTTGGGGTCTACCAACAACTTTTGTCTCACGTGGTCAGTCTTGCAGCAAACTAAAATTCTGTCGCAAATCATGCTTCAAAGTTGCATCCTCTGGCCAATTTTCTTAGCTCCGCAACATAGGCATCAATGGATTCATTCGGTTCTTTACAACAAGTACTCTGACATGAAAGCGGTATGACTCGAATGCCTTATGAGTCGTTCCCATGCAAAATTCCTCAAACTTCTTGAGTACTGTATCGATATCATCCTGTTCCTCTTTGGAACTAAACTTAAATCCATCAAATTTGTCCATCGCATCTTCCCCTATAACTGTCAATAAGACTGCACGCCTAAACTGTTTTGACTCTTACTTTGATCAAGTTTGAAGCAATCTCATAATTCTTCCATGCCCTCGAAAACTTTCTCCAGTTTGATTGCTAAGCACTTTCCTCGCTAATATTTAATTTTTGAGGTGGCTGTATTTGAGCATAAAATTTGGACTTTGTCCCTTCCATATTGAGGTTTGGCCGACTAGTTTCAATTGGTTTAGATTCAGGCGACTAGATTTAGTGTCAAAGGCTTACAGTACAGGCTAGTTTCTAGTAGTAAATTTCACGTATCTCGATCTAGATCTAGAGTCTGCATTCCGATTTCAATATTTGCACTTGGATTCGTACTGTTCGTATCTCGGCGCACTTCTGACACCATGTTATGTTACGACTTACTTGAGTCTTGGACTAGTAGATCTAGATGGTAGTTGATGTAGGTGGGGCCCCACTTACTGGTCTTCTGGTAGTTCTTGGTAAACGGATGTTACTTGTTTCGGCTTCAGTGAGTGAGGGATAGGCCTACTTAGATTACCCGCGGCTTGCCCGAAATCACATGAGGTGTCAGTCACATGATATGTCCTTTAGGCCTATGTCACACTAACTATTATAAAGGTGCGTTCACGCTACATGTCCTATTCTAAAGTTGCGCTTACACCAGTCTTACAACTAAAAAAAAAGGAAAATGACCATTACAAAAGACAAACCGTGAAGCTGAAAACAAAAATTTTTCAAGAAACCCACTGCAGATGCTACACTACAGAGTGTCAGTTTTTACATCATTGGTGTTCGTTGGAAAACTCCCGAAAGTGCCGAAGTTCAAACGCCAATTCCTGCAGACTTAAAGTGTGTCTCCTTATGCGCGACGTCGGGTCGCTCTCTTTGCCACTCTAAAATCAATCAGGTAATGTAAGATTATAAAGAAACTGTCTTCTTACACGTCGCTTGCAATCAGTCCCTGTAGTGATCGAGGGCCTCTTCACGTAGGACAGACCGGGGGTGTGACAGGTTTAGAGCATCACCTTAGGTCAAAATACCTAGCCAAGAAGTGCCAGTCGACACGCCATGTGGTGTGTGTGTGTGTGGTGTGTGTGTGTGTGTGTGTGTGTGTGTGTGTGTGTGTAGGATGTTCATCTTCAATTCACCCAATACAAGTTTTGTGAATCTAATTTTGTTGTTTTGTTTTTTAATGAGCAGCAGGAGGAGAAGGAGGAGAACTGGAGGAGGAGAAGGACTGGAGGAGGAGGAAGACTTACAGGGGATTGGCCATGTATGGAATACAAAATGTCAGCTGCTTGTAGAACTCCTATCTGACAGATTTTGTACTTCCTTGTCCATCTTGACATATAAATTTGCCACTGTCTTTCTTCTGTGAATTGCCAGTTGCACGAGGGCTTAGCCAGTCGTACATGGCTAAATGTTGCGTTGTGCATAAGGAGACAGTATTGTCGCTTTTGCCGCTTGTGACTGAAAATTTTGGCGTGATGTGGTCGGGCATAAGGATGCACACCTCGTGACTGCTCGTCACTAGGGATTGTTGCACGCGTCTAAATGTGTCGCGCATAAGGAGACATAGGCTTACACAGACCAAATCATAGAAATGACTCCAAATTTTCATAATTTCTCTAAAATATTAAATTATCCACTGGAACTTAAACTCTATGCATACTTTACTTTAAACAAACAGCTAAAATTGTGATTGAATAAGTTGGAAGTACAAAAATTGTTTTCTCAGTGAAAAATTACAGACTTACTGGACTTTAAATGATCTTGATTTTTCTTGGCCCGGAAACTCGATCAAAATCAACTACAAACTTTTGAAAAAGCTTTTCGGAAATAATAATAATAATAATAATAGATAGCTTGGACCGATGTGATTAACTTTGCAGTACAGTAGGTATCCACTGAGTGTTACTATTACTCTTATTGACATTTTTTTTATTAGTGTGTATAGCGAGTTTAGGGGAGGGGTGGGGGAGGGGGGAATGTTTTTGTTCTGATATGTCAATCCCATTTGCTTCACTTTAAAAAAATGAAAACTTTTCAGTCAACTGACAACTATACTACAGACAGAGCTAGGGGGGGAGGTGCTCTCTTGGTCGAGAGTTTACGGTGTTCGTCTCTCATTCAATACGTCCTTGGTTCGAAACCTGACAGTGATGGAAAATGTTTTTCAAAAAATCATATGAGCATGCTGGACACATTAAACATTTTTAGTTGGAAGGAAATTTATAATTTTGCTCGGGTGGCGGCTGAAGCCTACTCTTATCAATTTTAGACCATCAAGGAATCTGTAACGTGGGCAAATTGCACACAGGACTTCCGAGATTGTTCGCCCTCGTCCGAGAATTCTGGGTGTAGACTAGATCTTTCTTACCAGAAGATCAGGGGTGTGGCTGAAAGACAGCAGTAAGAAGGAGCCAAGGAGTAGCCATAGGAAGCCTGCAGAAAGAATCAGGAGCCCAGAGGAGGGGGGCAAAGGAGGTGAGGGGGTGGGGGCAGAAAGTGAAGACGAAAGAAGACAATAGAACATTGCTTGATAGCAGGAAAGGAGGAGAAAGGAGACAATTTTAGAGGAAAAATTTTTCTGTCGCTACCCGGATTCAAACCCAGGTCCTTTTAATGAGAGCCGAACACCTGAACCTCTAGACCATGAGAGCAACCCCACCCCAGAGTAGGTTTTGGCCGCCACCCGAGCAAAATTCAAAATTCCTACCAAATTGAAAATGATTAAAGTGTCCTGCGCATTCATATGACCTTATGCAGTTGTAAGCGCTGTAAAACACTTACAAAAAAAAGAAGAAATAAAAGACAGGGCTAAATTTTAAATTCAAATTTTTTTCTGTCTTCAACTTTTACATATATACAGTCGAACCTGTGTAAGACGGCTACACATAGTCGAGGGGAAAAGTGGCCGTATAAGACAGGTGGGCGTCTTAGGCAGGAATGATCAAAATAAAAATAAAAAATTTACTTGGGAGGTCCCAACTAGAAGTGGTTGCATGCTTAGGACTGCCTTAGGGCTGATTAAAATGTGTTTGTCTTGTTGTTGCTGTTGTTTTATTTCTTTTGAAAGGGGGGAGAGGATTGGACTTTTTGTTAGTTTATTTTTATTTTTAAGTTATGGTTCCAAGAAAGGTCAAAATGGAATGAAATGTTTCAGACGAGGAAGGCCAAGTGTCATAGTGAAACAAATAAATGGGTCGCCACCTTTCGGCGAACGAGCAACACTTCTGTCGCGAGTTTGTGTTGATTTCAATTGTTACGGACTTGGTTTACAGACTGAGTTGTGAGCGGGCCTTATAGGTCATGACGGATCACACGCTTTCCTTACCAGCTGCTGAAAATTTATTATTACCCATTGGTCAACGTGGGTAAACAATGGGAGTGACGTAAGCAACATGAACATTTCATCCATTGGAGGGACTGACAAAAACGGCAGGTGAATGAATTAAGACGGCTTGTCCACAACATCCGGGGAAAATGCATAATTTTTCACAAAGTCTGGCCGCCTTAGGCAGGTAGATTTGGATGTGGGTTGATAAAATAGGGTGGTCGCGGCCACGTTAGACAGGTGCCCGTTTTATACAGTTATATTATGTAGAAAAAACCCAAGGGGGGAAATGGAAAGTGGCCGTTTGTACAGGTGGCCGTCTTATAGAGGTGGCCGTCATGGCAGGTTCGACTGTACATTGTGAAGGCAAACAGAATTTCAAAACTATTTTGTTTCTGACACAGCTGCATGTGAATATCACCCTGGCGGACCTATATTCCACGATGCCCTCAAGGGATGGTCATGTTGCAAAAAGCGTGTCTCTGACTTCACTGAATTTTTGAATATCAAGGTGAGTGTGTCTTGATAGAAATCAGTTTTTGCATTCTTTTAGGGTTTAATTCTTTTTATTTTATTGTTAATGTGATAGCATTCTAGTTTTTATTTCTTTATATTGCTCTTTTATTTTAGAAATTAAGTTTTACTGTTTTTGGTAGAGAAACTCTCATTGACACCAGTTCATTTGTCAGTCTACCACTGAACGTGTTTCAGTTGGTCTTTTAGTCTACTAGTAGGGGTGGCGATTGGAATAACAGTAGGGTAGGATTGGTTTTGGGTCACTGCTGCTGCCTTTTCTCCAAGTAACACAGCATAGGTAGGCTGGTAGATCAGGCAGGGATTACAGTAGAAAGGATTATTGTGGTAGATTGTCAAGTGTGCTGGCATCCTCTCTACGATGTGAAGCTGAACCTACTCTCTGCAGACTGGACCAAACAAAAAAAGGGTGGTTGATGGGTGCTCCGGTGCAAGTTGCTCCTTCTTTCATTTGGAACATCTATGGTCATATATATATATATATCTCTCCTTTTTTGTGTTCTTTAAGTTACTCTCCTGTATCAGCTCTAATCTTTGGTGCTTATAGGACTTAATTGTGTTGCAAGTGTGGTAAAACTCTTACTAAAACAAAACAAAACCGAAAGAAAAAAGCCAGAACTATTAATGTGATGATGGTATGTTTAAACAAGGATTTCATAGCAGTAACAATGCTTTAAAATTAGATCAGAGTGGTGGTACTCATTATTGGACAGAGTTTTATTGTTTAACACTTTGCCATTACAAGTCTCATATGGTAAAAACCCTTGCCATCAAAGGCAAAGGCATTTGGGGAAAATCCAAAGAAACTGGGTGGTAAATATCACCAATCAATGAGATGTGACGGCAAAGTGTTCAAAATAAAGTTGTTTAATGTAGGTAATGATATGACACAATTACGGGGTGAGGAGCATGTCAATGAAAATAAAACTCAAATGTTTACAACAATGTATTACTTTTGTAATACATAGAGAGTAGAATAGCTTAATTTGCTGATTCAGAGCAGTCTCTTGAGGCCATGGAGAAAATGTCAGAGCAAGATAAAAGTCGACCTCCGTAATTTTATTTACTTATTTTTTTTGTACCTCTTTTTTCTTTTAGGGATGCACAAGAGGATTTCATTGTGATGTGAAACCCCCTGAACCACAAAAGCCAGAGAAATCAAAAGTAGAGGTATGTTTGTTGAGGTTTTTTTTCCTGACATACTTTGTTGATGAATTTTGTTTGATATTGAAACTCAACCTTTAATTGATAGATCAGACAAAATGGAACTCTTTTTGCACATACTCATTGTATGGTCATTCTGTTGCACATACTATATGCACATACTTCCGGCGCTGCTCAGTGGGGACAGAGCTGTTCCAGATCTCCTTATTTTTGATAAATTTTTAACATAAGTGCGCCCCAAGGTTGTGTAATCTCCCCTGTCTTGTTTATGCTCATAACCAATGACTGTACTTTTTATATAATAAACATTAAACAATGAAATTTACAGATGATTCTATTCTACCTGGCCTAATAACAACAAATGAGAATGATTACAGGGACGTTGTAAATGTTTATTTACAAATTGGTGTGATAACCTTTTCCTTTTACTAAATGTAAAAAAACCAAAGGAATTAATAATAGACTTTAGAATAAAAAAAGATCAATTGCCACCACTATTTATTAAAGATGAGGAGGTTGTAAACTCTTACAAATATATTGGAATAGCCATTGATAACAAGCTTGACTAGCATCCCAACGCTGCTCTTGTGCGAAAAAAAAAAAAAAATTGAAAAATGTTCTTTTTAATTAAGAAAATTAAAAAGTTTTCATGTCGATAATAAGATTATGTCCCTTTTATACCATTCTGATTGAAAGCCTGTTACTACTTTGTATTGCTGCTGGGCTGGGAATTGTAGAATGAAAAATAAAGAAAAATTTGACAAAACCACTAAGAAAGCCAACAAGATCTCTGGATATCATTTTACTAGAATTGATGAATGTTTAAGATCACAAGTATAAAAAAGATAAACGGCATTATAAAAGACCCATCACTCCTTCTTTACACACAAATTGTAAGATCACGCAGTGGCAGATATGTTTCTCTAAAAACAAAGAAAGAAAGATGATAAAAAAAGTTTTTCTTTACCATCTAGGAAAAGGCTACTGTCAGAATAAACATCAATGTGTTTTGCTTTTTCGAGTATGCATCTATATAACTTTTTAGAATTAAATTCCTGCATGTGGTTGAATGATGCATCTTATGTGATATGTACATTTGTCAGCTTTACTTTTCTTTTCATACTGAATTTTAATGAGTTATATATCATTTAAATCTTCATGTGTACCTGCATGTGTTTTTACTGTCTTGTACAACCAAGAAATATTTCCTTCTCGGACAATAAAGTATTATCTTATCTTTTTCTTGACTCTATTGAGGTTGCCATGTTCACATGGAGGACAAATATATATAATGATGAACTCAATGATCTTTGATGAGAGTCAAGAGATGATTTTTATTTTGTCTTGCTCAGGACACATGCCACAAGTGGTGGGCGGAAGTCATCTCAACAATAATAAAGAATAATTAAGTTTCCAACAAAAAAGAGTGTACTAGTGTAATCAAGAGAAATAACTAAGAATAATCATACAAAAAGATAATACATACTATTATTAAATAAATTCAGTTAATTCCCCTTGACCATAATAAACAATGTGATTTTTATTCTAACAGACTCAGCATCATTTTGAAATGGTGACAGCCTTTAATGACTGCAAAAATTGTGTTACTAACATTTTTCAAATAAAGGCAGGGACAGAGTTTTTCACCTGAGAACAATTTTGTCAAAAGTGTACTTAAGTAAAGAGGGCACTATGGACAAAATAGTTCTGAGGAGACTAGTTGTGTTTTTTTTTCTCTAGATTTTTCGTCTTTTACAAAGTCTGTTTTTTTTTCCCTTATTTAATTTCGGCACATAATTCTATGCAAGTCACAATTTTTCCTTTCAGTCTTCCTACTAACAATACTTTCATTTGGATAATCACTCAAATCCCATTACGCTTTTTTCTTTGTCGTCCTCTTCCTGTCAGTCCTCCCACTCGGCCGTCTTGAACCATTTCTGGTCAGAGTTTGGACTTTTGGCCTTTGAATTGGCAAAAACCAGTCTGTTATAGCGATTCTTACATGTATTGTCTTTGAGTGGTGTATTGTGCTTTTTCTGCTCTTTACAAAGGGGTTTTACAGTTACTCTGATATTCTGGTGAAATGTTGGCGCTATTAGACCGACACTTGATCACAACAGCTTATTATGTTTTTCCATGAACAGGACTCTATGATACAGCTTGAGGTGAAACCACAACACCGTCATCCGAATCCCATCCCAGAGGAGCGACCTTCTGCTGATGAACCAATTCTCCCCCTCAAGACAACAATAGGAGCTTCTCTTAAAGCACTGTTGGAAAAGTTGAGTTTGAAAGATACTGAGGAAGTTAAAGAAAATGCAGGTATGTCTAGGTGTCTGGTCATAATGGCTGTCTAGTAGAGTTGGGGAGAGCGGATGGATGGGTTCGTTACTTTCGTATGCAGTCAGAGCGAGCGGATAACGGACGGCTCAAGCGGACTGCGAGCCTCAAGACAGTTCTTTTTTTGGGTCCGCTCCACAATTTTTCTCTCAGCGAGCAGACTGCGGACCCCAAGTCAGTTTGGTTTTTTTTTGGTCAGCGCCACAATTTTATTCACTGAGCTGGCAGGCAAACGGACGAACTCTTACAGACTAGATACTCAACGCTAGGTGAGGCCTGTCGTCTATTGTTTGTTAATTAGGCCTAATGTTTCAAGCCACTAGCAGTGCCACAGGGAGTGAGAGAGGCTGGTGACATAGTACTATGTGTGTAACCTTTCACCTTGTATGTGAGCACTCTGTGTACGTTCCAATTTATTAGGAAGACGAAGTTTAAAGAATTCTCAAAGGCCTTTTTTTGGGGAGGGGGGGGGGGGAAGAGAAATTTCCACCATGAACACCTAACTACTATGTGGGGCAGGAGGGTGATTTTTTTCCGGGATGGGGGGTAAGTAGTATGCAATGGAAGGAGTCGCTCTCCGTCCGTCCGTTCGCCCGCTCGAATGCATGGAGTCCACCTGTCCGCTCGCTCGCTGAACGAGCTGTTGTCTCTGTTCAATGAGTAGCGAGTAGTGAACCCCTCTTCACAAGAGGACGGCTCGTTTCCCGTCCACTCGTTTGCGGGTAATACCAGCGAGTAGTTCGTTACTCGCGGACGCTGATTTAGCGAGTCCGACCCGATTCTACTCTTTAGTCAGAGTATTTTGCTTGAAATACTGAACTTAACTGTAACAGCTCCAGTTCACGTCTATATTTCCCTCGCAAGTTTTCATTCTCTGGGGTCTAGTCCCTTATATTTCCCGCTCAGGGCGTGTTCACTCAAACCGAGTCACTTTGTTTAGCATAAAGTATCTCATTGTCTCTGAAAAACATTCTACATTTTGTCTTCTAAGACTTGTAATAAAAGCAGTTTAGATTTTTTTAGGGTCTGCAAAAAATTGCAAATTGCAATCACTATTAGCTGGGCCTGAGGTGTCAAGGACTCTAGTATTGTCAGGGCCAGAGGGAAGTGAGGTCTAAAGACAGCCAGGTTCTGTAAGAGTTAATATTAATGTGTTTGTTACTCTCTTTAATACCTTGTAAAACCTCTGATCTTCAGCACTTATGACTTTATTGAGTTGCAAGTGCTGTAAAATTCTTACTAAAATAAAACTAAATGAAGGTTTTGTTGACTTGTAATTAATACAGCTCAGAATTAGCTCTTTTGGTACTTGAGATCAATAACCTATGGTTATTGAATTAAGGCGGTATGTGCAATGTTTCTGATTTTTACATATTTTGAGATTTTTTTTTTCATTTACAAATCAGATCCTTTTACTCTGTATTTTTGAGAACTTGGGACCCAAGATGTTATCGTCACCAGTAATTTCTTGAATGTTCTGACTGAGCAATTGCCAAAACATGAAACTCTCTTGAGACTCAGCAGTGCCAAAAAATTTTTCTTACCAATTTGACTCCCTTTTCTGCCAGTCACAGATTGACATTTAGTGCTCATATTCCTAGAGTATCAAAGCAAGGAGATGTAGGGTTTTGGAGATATGGGTCTATTGGTTTGGCAACCACTGTATTTCTTGTATGTAACAGTGATGACAAAAACAGATAAGCAGCAAGGCAAGTTATAGACTTTTAATTCCATTTGTTTAGTAAACAAAGACTTTGTATACCATGAACTCCATTCATAATGGTAATATGAATGACAAGCATTGTAACTATGAAGCAGTGCACAGAACATGTCATCATTATTATGTACAAGAAAGGATACACATTGGACATTATCATTGACAACACATCATAATAGTGAAAGGCTGTACAAATACAGTTATCAAAGCCTCAGTACCCGAAAAACACATGTGTAAAACAATTTTAAACTAATATGAGGCAAAAGCACAAAATCAATGAGGCTGACTTGTACATAACAGTGATGACAAACATGACTTGTACATAACAATGATGACACAATGTACAGGAAAAGACAAAGTCATGCCTCCAGAGAGAAAAGCGCACTTTAAGAATAAAAAAAAAACTGGAGTGGCTACCGCCCGATGTCAGGTGACTATCGCCAGGCTACTTGCCCGATCTAGGATTTCTGTGCTGGTTCCGGGCGAACGAATTCGGTCAATTAGCCGCGCCTGACCTGCGGCTTCTGGCCCTTGGGGATTTCTGCACATCTTCCGTGTTCTGGCCCGTGGGGATTTCTTCGCATGCTCCTTTAAAATTCGTGTGATCAATCGCGCAAGATTCAGTCACTCTCTCTCTTTCTCCCCCCCCCCTCTCTCTTTCTCTCTCTGCCCGAAGACAAAATTTATCGCGTTCAACTCAGCACTGGAACATTTGTTTACATTCGTATCATGGGCCGTCAATCATGTGCTAAGAAGATGAGGTAGATTTAGAGCCCAAGTCTCGTTCAGACGCGAGATACGGCAATTGAAGCTTCTTGGTAGTAGTTTGACAATCTTTAATAGCATCACGGCACTGCATTTCTGACGCTAGCCACTCGACATCGGGCGAGTAGCCTGGCGCTAGCATCGGCCAAAAAAAAAATCGAGGAGAGGTTCCTTTTGCTTTGAAACAGATATCAGGTCATATCAAAGACAGTGGACAATCACAATTTTGTTGCTAATTATGACAAACAGTACTCATACATAACAGTGATGACAAAACATACTGGGAAAAGGTAAAATCATGCCTACAGTAAAAAGAACAAATGTGCTTGAGATACACAGATCAATAAAGGCTGGCGTATTTTGCTTCTAAATGAATCATGCATGTATGAAATATATGTTGAAAACTTATTGATATTAGCAATGATGACAAATATCATTTGTACATAACAATGATGACACAATGTATAGGGAAAAGGCATATCATGCCAACAAAGAACAAATGTGTACTTTTGAGTTAGACAGATAAACAAGGACATGTTTGTTTATATGTTTGAGTAAAGAGAGCACATGACATAAAAATTGCTGGCTCTTAGGACAATGTAATTTCTAGTATGTCAGTCAGTCTCGTACGGCTGCATGACGACACCCCAAACTTCATCACCCATCTCTAGAAGTTTGTTCATTCATCACAAGAGGTTCCAGGAATCCAATGTAAACACCGCAATTTCACTAAAATATTCAACAGGGTAGCCCAAAAACATGCAAAATAGTCCTGTACGTCACATTCAACATAAGATTCTTGTGCGTCACCAAACGCTGATGGCAATGACTACTTTCGTTTTTCTCTTTCTGCCGTTGCTTCCGCTGTTCTGGGGAAGCGAGTGAGGGGAAGTCACTCGAGAAAACAATTATATCCGGACAGATGACCGAAATTGTAGATCTAGGAACCCGATGTTCCTTTCGCGCATCGCAGCTTTTAAAGTATTGAATAAACGACAAAAAGCAAAAAGATTTAACCAGCTACGGTGATTCTACTGAAAAATAATGGTGTTTTCTGAAACACCTAGTCCATGACGACACGACGAATGCACAAGTGATCCGAATTATTCGTTTATTTGCAAACAAATAAACCGATTTCTTGAGAAAGTGAACCTTTCTCTGTGACAAATAGCATAGGGTCAAAGCACACGTTTAAAAAAAAACACCCAAAAATACTAAATTTTGGACATGCTTGGAAGTTTGCCTTGGTGTGCTCAAAATGACAGTCCAGGAATCACTAAAAAACAAACATTTTTGGCACAAAATTTACAAAATCAAGATTGTAATGCTGACAGGGGGGTCTGAAACTTCTAATACAGGTTCTACATCTTATATGTGACATGTGTATAAGTTTTGGAGGGATAAATACTAATGCATCACATTTTATGCACACTAATGTGAGATGTATGTGTTTTTCCCCAGGTTTTGGCAATGGCTCGACTGAAACTTTTGTTGTTAAGTCAAAGCATGCATTCATATGCAGTCACGTGTTCCACTATTGAATGTTTATTTTTGGGTCCAATGCAATTTTACATATTTGTTTTTTCTCCTTGTAGCTACAGAAGGTGCAGTCAAGCTTGGAACATCATGTCACAATAAAGGATGTAAAGCGGTGAGTCTTAACAATTTTCATCAGCGCTGTTGTAAAATTGTTAACTTTCTCCTTTTGACTGTCATGTGTGTCTAGGCATATAAACAAAATGACCAAAGTTGCTGACACTTTTTTCCACTTCTGAGTCTGGAAATGGCCACGAATTTAAAAAAAATACAACCTAAAAGTAGTGTTGGTTCGGACAAGCAACATTTTGTATTGGCGAATACATAGGTCTCAAAATAGCGGATTTCTGCTACCACCATTTCCTCGGCTAAACTCCGCTGCTGGGAGGTGCACAGGGTGACTGCCAGGCCCCGGGAATTTGAAAAAAATTGCCAACACCCAGGAATTTGAGGAAATCCGTAAATTACCTTGGGAAAGACCTGGGAAAATACATAGAAGTTCTCGAATATTTGAAAACCAGATCCGATAAGGTCTTTAAGTCCATTTTTGCCGGTCACAATTGTGATGTTCGTTCGGCTTTTCCCAGTCCGAGAGTACGTTTCACGCGAACAGGTGGCTATAGCGGCAGGCGGAGTGTATCATGTGTGGCAGTGAGGCTTGATCGGGAAAATCAAGATCTACTTTCTCTGTCCCAGAAATTTTTCGGTAATAGTCTGATAAAGCAACACTTGTAACATGCAGGTTGTGCATTACAAATGTGGTGTCACCTTAAAAATAAATCAATACTCGTCTCTGTGCTGTCACTTGTGGGGGAAAAAAGAAAAGAAAGTTATACAAGCGTCTTGTGGGGCTCGCCATTGTGACTGGTCAGTGGACCTGCGCTGCGAAGTACAGGACTCCAGAATGGGGGAGATTACTGATATTTTAAAAAGATACACACGAGAACACAACTCCAGAGGACAAAAAAACAACTGAACTTGGACTTGGAAGCAAATTTTTAATATTTAGAATTTTGATTACTACTAGACGCTAAAGCTCTCTGCAAAGTAAAGTGCGCGTTGGTGCAGGCCTGAGAGTAGCAGATTTTCAGTGTCACTACACCTTGCCCTCCCACAGTTCTCACACCTCCCACCCGCAATAGGTCTACTTGAGCTATTCAAGTTATTATTACTCTACTTTGAGTTTGAGCAATAATTTTGTATTTCACTTTAATTATGTGAATCATGACACCCATAATGGTTCGTGACAGTCGATATTCTGGTTCTATGCCTTTTCTCGGGCTCAAAATAAGATTGATTTTTATATTTTATAGTTTATATACAGGGGAATATATAAATTAGTAAGAAGAGACTGAAATACCTAAGTCGCACGAGACCCCAGTGCCACACTGACATCTTGTTGACTAGATATGTGTACCTATGTGTATTTGTGTGTGTGTGTGTGTGTGTGTGTATGTGCTGTCATTGTTATGTAACATGCCCATGGAAAATGGATGAACCCCCTGGAAAACTGAGTAGCCGGGTTGGCAGTCACCCTGCTCCCAGTAATGCACCACCACTTTCTGTACATAATCAAGAAAGTAAATAATACTTGATAGGCCTACGTGACTCTTTTGCTTCAAATTATCTTCCAAACCCTCAAATTGGTATAAAATAACCTTGCTTTGATAAATTTATGGTTTTTATTTCAGCATTCTGGGGTTAAACAGTATAATAATTTTGGGTGTCTCGCGAAAATGGTCTTCTGTCACGATCATGTGGAAAGTTCCTCGTTTAAAAAAATTCTGAGTTGAGACCCATGGAAACAAGCATAAATAAATCACTTGCTATATCGGATTGTGGGCGGGCAGATGTACCATTACATCGCAAAAGTTCATTATTTGCAGCTTGAGTGAGACGCTGCTTGTCTGTGATGCCTTGAATGACCAAGCAAACTGAGCTGGCGATGCTGGTCTTTGATGCACATGCGGGTCAGCTCACTTACTGGTTCATGACGTACAATAATGATCAGCAATATACCTCGGGTCCATAGCACATGGTATTACAGTATTACTGAATCAGTGAATTATGTAACCCACTGCTTGCAAACTGGTCTGCTAGTATTTTGATAGCGCCATCTAGGCTCTCACGTAACAAATTGGTACCGAGCGCCCACAACACCACTACTTAAATGGACTATATTGTAGACATGCATGTGAGCCTCAATCAGATTGTCTGAAAATTTTGCGCAACCCCCCCCAAAGAACCCCCCCCCCCAGTGTTTTTGTGGGTGTCATAAAAGGAAGATCTTCTGTGTAACGAGAGACCACCCCAGCAAACACAATAAAGAAGAGACCTAACCCAAACCCTAACCCTACTCCTATCCCTACGTATATTCTTAAAAGTAGCCCTCTATTACTTTGTCTCATAGAGATCTAGTGGGCGCCCGTTATGGAAGTCCTCTCTCATAAAATAACAGTCCTTGTAGAGCTACATGATGGGGGCATCCGTCCCCAAAAAAGAACCTGCAACGGTCCTTCGCCTTCAGAAATTAAAAAAAGCCAGCAAAAGTCCAAAATTGAAAAAAAAAACCCCACACACCACAGAACAAACAAGGAGCATTTAATGGCCTATATTGCTATTACAGTAGTCTCTGCCTAAGATCCCGGTGCTCGGGAGCAAGGAAATGCGGGATCTTAGGCGAACCGCGATCTTAGCCGACGAACCCAGGGAAAAATCTACGGTGACTCATGTTAAGGCTCACAATCGGTAAAATGGTCTCCCTCCACTCTAAAATGAACTGACGTGACCCCTGGGTGGGTTTATGACATATGGCGAATAAAGAGTGGTTATCTTTGATGACCTATCACAGTGCATAGTGGCATGAGGCGTGCCATTTTCACTTATTATCCTATCATGAGTCTCAAGATCTACGTTTATCCAGTTGCCCCTCCCCTTTCCCTGTCGAAAATTTATAGCTTTCCATCCGTGACCGAGTCCCCCCACCCCACCACCTTTGTCGTTACACACCATCACGTTGTGAACACACCAATTAAAATTCCGTCTGTCTCGCAAATTCAGGAGTAGAGACAACTGCTGCAATGGTCAGGGAAGAGTTCACAGTTCAATGTGATCCCGCCTAGAGCGAACGTGTAGGCCCAACACACCCAGCAAGTGATGTAAGTTTGGGGGAGAGCTCAGGTGTGAGTGCGATGCGTGGGGAAAACAAACGTGTCGGTCAGTTCACACATCAGTGTGATCCCGTCTGGGGCAAACATTGTATCGCTCCATCGAGTTTTACAATACGTGTATGTGATCACATTCACGATAGTGGCTGATCTTTGACGTGACGTACAGTTTATTGATCTCAACTTTTCACTCTTGGTTGATCGGCTGTGCCAGCCCGGGTTTTGCTCCACAAATTATGATCTGCAATGCGGGATCTTAGCCGAATGTAGACCTTCAGGGTGAATCAGAGCGGGATCTTATGGATGACTTTTGTATAGTAAAAATTATGTTTTCTTAAAACAGCGGGATCTTAAGCGAACCGGGATCGTAAGTGGTGGGATCTTAGACGGAGACTACTGTATAGGATTTGATACAATAACACAATTGAATCCTCCATATTGTAATCTAGATAAATCTATCCAGATCTAAATCTAGTAGAACAAGTGAACAGGACTAGGCTCTCACGGAATGAATCCACATCAGAACTGATGGACTCAGCTGAGTGTAGATATCTAGCTCTTTCTGGACGTATCGCATATATATCTGCGCGAGTCCACACCCCTTGCGGACGTATCGCTGTTATATCGGCTATGATAGGGTGCCCCAGTATTGTTTCGTTTGAACATGATCCGTCATATATTTATTGTTATAAATATATCACTGTTATTGAAAACTTGGAAAGGATTTAGGGAACGAAAACATCTAGTTTCACTTTGTATAAGCGTCGGTTTGGCGAAAAACGAGTGAATTAGTTCTTGTGGTCTTGCATCAACAAAACGATGTAACCGGACTCAGTATCAATATCATAACTCAAACAAAAATTGGAAAATTTCTTTCAAATAAAAAGCTGTGTATTCAGAAATTTATGGATTATGATTATGCTCTTTGCCTTATATGTTAAGATAGCTGTGCTGATTTGCTTTTACGTGGTTGGTGAATGTAATTTTTTCGGTCAAAGTTTATTTTTCTCATCGCTATCGCCATTTCTAACCTTTGTAATGCATACTTATGTTCAAAATTAATCCTTGTTTCATATTGGGATGTATTCCTCGTTCAATTTCCTTCAATTTGATATATCATATGTTACGTTTTGAGTGATGGTTATTTATATGAAGTTATTTTGTACATCACCTGTGTCGCCAAATCGAGCCACAAGTTAATACGTCTAGGCCCCCAAAAAACTATGTCCGGAAAGAGCTAGAATCTAGATATCTAGACAATAGTACCATATCAGATCTAATAGTAGGCCTACTTAATAATTTACGCACCTGATGAAATGCTCTTTTATCAACATTATCATTACAGCACAACCTATAATAGGGTTTGACACAATAGAACTGAAATATGAATCCTCCATGGAGGTCTATAATGATCTATATAAATCTAGATCTAGTAGAGCAAGTCAGTAGGCCTCGAGTGAATCCACATCCGAACAATCGGTCAACAGACGAAATTCAAAATGGCCGCTCAAGCACGAAACAGAAAGTAGATATTTTAGGTCGTCGTCCTTTTTCGTATTCGTATTTCTACTCAGGTTCTGACAATTATGTCGGAAACGTCACGGTCGGCACAAAAACGAAAGGGCAGACAAAGCCGACCGGAGATAAAGGGGTCGCTTGCAATTGGCCACGCCTCGCACTTCGCACATTGACCTAGCAATAGCATCAGCCGGGTCGCGGGTTGGGTCGCGATTGTCGGATTTCAGACGATTATGGGCAAACTTGCAGGACTATAATTGTTAGTTCTATTGGATGGGGTAGACCATCTAACCCCCTAATCTTCTGAAACATTAGAATAGTATTTGCTATTGCTGCAAGCATCTCATCATAACAAGTAAATAGTTACTGCTAGGCTGTTTGTTCTTTTTATGTTCAGCAGTATGGGCTGTCAGAAATCAAATAAGCTTCCCTTGGATTGTATTTTCATATATAACAGGGTTTGACTATTTTAGCATTTTGCTTCATCTTACATTTGAATTTCTTCATGCCAGAAGAAAAATTATTCTTTGTTTAACTGCATGCTATACAGGATGAGTAAAAAAAATAAAAATGACAGATATTTTTTTGACAGCAAGTATATGAAATATAGCTTTTTAGTCTTGACATTTGTTTGTTCCCTTTGTTTCAGTCATATCAAGGAGAACAAAGTAACCAGGAAACGTGTGTATATCATCCAGGTGTACCTATTTTCCATGAAGGGTAAGAGATTTGATTTGCTTATTACATATTTATGCATTTTTTAAGTACGGCAAGCTTTAATGGTACTAGTACTGCCACACTCATGATGTCTTTATATCATAGAGTTACCTCCTTTTAAACTAGAGTCCGTACGAGGTTACGTGACACGGACACATTTGAGTTTGTTGGCGGCCATTTTTAATGTGGCTAAAAAGTTTGTTTACATTTGAGTGGGCGTGTCTCTGCTCTTAGTCTTACGTGTTTTATTTGATTCTAACGTTATGTTTTGATTCAAAGCGATTCTCTTAAAGGTGCAAGCATGTGAAACCTCTTGTCCCTTTCTGGATTAACGTCTTACTGGTTCTGTCAGGCAGTTCAGTGATGTCTGTTTTCTTTTATTACATCATCTATTTTTAATGCATAATATGTCTTATAGACACAAATAGTCACTCCGGGTTTCTTTTTTAAAACATAAAGAACCATCAGTAAGGTTCTGGGCCATGTGAAGTTAAGGTTGACTAGCAGCTAGATCTTTTTCACTATGGGCAGGAAATTTCTTTATCAAACTGAAACAGTGTACTTTTTATTGTTTTGTTTTATTGAATGTTGTCCAAAAACACCTTAGTAAAGGTTTTTGTTTCAGTTATCACTACACTGAGTAGAAAAACAATTGACTAGGCTACAAAACAACGTATAAGTTCACTTTTTTATCTTTAGTGAGTCCAGAGTTGTCACAGTTGCTTTACTAATGTCCAAAATTATACTTACTTAAAACAGCAATAGGAGGAGCTTTAGTTTAGGTGCTGTATATGGTCTACTTTAGTTCTTAAAATCAATATAAACCAAAGTTTAATACCGACATAAGAAAACACTACTTACAATTTGGTATACTTTTAAAAAAAGTGAACATATGAATGAAAAATACAGTTTCCTGTTCAAATGTCACATGGGAAAGTTTAACTCGATTTTTAAAATACCAGTACATGTATTCATCATTTGTTTGGCTGAATTTGCTTTATCAAGAGCTTCAATGCATTCCTCTACACCTAAAGGCTGAAAAACTCAGGAATTTTTTTTTCCTGTGGCTCATCCTGATTTAATTTAATGCCAAACTCATACAGTCGAACCTGCCCTGACGGCCACCTCTATAAGACGGTCACCTGCACAAACGGCCACTTTCCTTTTCCCCCCTTGCGTTTTCTCTATATAATTTAACTGTGTAAAACGGGCACCTGTCCAACGCGGCCGCTGCCACCATAATTTAACACACAACCCCTATCACACTAAGCAATAACACCTGTCTTAGACGGCCACCTTAGAGACTCCATTACGTTTTGTCATAAATTGTGCACTGGCCCCTGGCGTTGTGGGCGAGCCGTCATAATTCAATCACCTGTCGTTGTTGTTAGGTAGTCCCTCCAACCGATCATGTTGCGTAGGCCCCTCCCACTGTTGACCAATAGCTACCAATTTTCAGCTGCTGGTGAGGTTAGCGAGTGATCCCTCATAACCCATAAGCCCCGCCCAGAACTCATACTCACATCGTAAGTGAGATGAGTGGTCACTGTTTAACCAGTCTGTAACAAAGGGCGTCAACATGAACTTGTGACAGAAGCGTCGCTCGTTCTCCGAGTGGTGGCGACCCGTGTGTTTGTTTTAACATAGCACTCTTTGTCTGATACATTTCGTTTTATTGTCACCCTTGTGCAAAATCAGCAACAAAATAAAAATTACAAACGAAATACAAAACAACAACAACAACAACAAAAACAACAACAATGGGGCTACTTTCGATTGGGACCTCAGATGGGAATGGTTTGTTTTCTTCGTCTTGATCAGTCCTGCCTAAGACGGCCACCTGTCTTATACGGCCACTTTTCTCCTTGACAATGGGTGGCCGTCTTACACAGGTTTGACTGTATATCTGAGGGGCGGCCGGGGGGGGGGGGGGGGGGGGGGGGTGGGATTGGGATTCGGGAGGAGAGAGAGGGTGGGGTGGTTATAGGAGGTTCCCATGACACCCACATCTTTTCATACTTCTTTTTAAAAGTTCTTTACGCCCTATACGCTTTGATTCGGTCAATAAGAAATAAACCACCTCGTAGATAAAGTGCTGATGAACAAATAAAGGTTGGGTTTTTTTCTTCTTCTTTTTAAAGCCCATATCTCTATCTCTATCTATTTAATAATACATTTATTTGTAGATCTAGTTGTAGAAAGAATGCCGTATTATTGCAATTTTGTAATTTAGATATAGTACGCCACGGCGCCCATGTAAAAAAAAAAATCAACAAGAACCAAACCTCGCCTATCGCGTATGAGAGAGAGAGAAAACATGCCTAGCCCATTGCTTTAGCATGAACTCCTTCACACAACTTGCCACAAAAAACATGGCGGACGCCGCTGTCAAATGTGGCCATCGCGCAGCAAGGCGAGAGAGGGGCGTACGGTATCAAGTACTATAGTGTACATCTATGCTTTATATACATATATATATATATATATATATATATATATATATATAGGATCATGTATAGAACTGCTGTGAGAGGTTTTGATGCAAGTTTTACTTTTATTCCATCTATTAACCAGGTCCTAAGTAGCTCCTTTGGTATCACACTTTCCTACACCATCTTTCATGAAAAACTGTAATTCCTGTTGGTGTTTCAACTTCGTTCTTTAAATGTGTAGAGTTAATCCTGTAGTGCAATATACTGTGAGCGATCTTTTGTGGATATCAGGTCGATCTTCATGATTTTTTCACCAGAAGTTAGAAAGACTTCCTCTCTATATGGTGTAGCGCATTACAAAACCCATCAGTTCAAAATTCCTATATGTTGTGGTGGTGTTTGTTTGGTAACGTGTATCTGGTTGATGCGCAAGGTGTCTGTTTTGGTGCATTATATCGTCTGTTTGAGTGCGCAATAGTACCATGTTTACAGCTCTAGATCTAGATCTAGCTCTTTTCTGACACTTTTCATCTTTCTCTATCCTGGCCTTGTCTTCTTTTCCTTGCAAGAAGTTCCTGTACTGACCGGAACAGAAGGCCAAGGTCAATGAGGCATGTTCTTTTTGGGAGCTGTGCGCCCCCTAACAGGAGATTTCCTTATACCGTGTGTATGTGTTTTGATAATGGATAAAAAGAAAGGTGCTGTGGACACAAGAAGGTGAAAGAAGAAGACAAGAATTAGACTATACCTAGATTAGTATTCTTAAAGGGAAAGGACAAAAAAGAAGAAGAAAAAGACGTGAAAAGAAGAAATTGAAAAAGAAAGGTGCTGTGGACACAAGAAGATGAAAGAAGAAAACAAGAATTAGACTATACCTAGACTAGTATTCTTAAAGGAAATTATAATGCATCCAAACGGAAGGAAAACAGTCTGTTTCAGTGCACAATGCAGGTCATAAAGAAATAACTTAATAAGTAAAACTACCAAAGGGCCTAGAAGCCACACTATCAATGCCAAATAGCAGAAAAGCCGATATTGCACACTTAAACGGACAGCACAAATTTGGTCTGCTTCAGTGCGCAACCCTATCTGGCATGTTCCTGGGCATTAAGAAGCAGCCTGCGATAGTATTTATCGATTCTAGTATACATTCTACGATACATAAGAGCAAGATTAACTAGATGTGCTAAATAATCGACTACTCAAGCTCTTAGTAAATTCACCGATACCGGTTACAAAAACCATCAATATGAAGGGGCAAAACTTTCCGACACCGTAGAACCACGTGCATTGACTGGAACATCCAAAACGAAAGTGAAATAAACTGCATTCTGCGCATGCTCACAGAAAGTGACCTCGTTTTCGCTATTCTTATCCAAAACAAAGCAGGAGACCTGGGGTTGTGCACCCAAGCAGACCCGCAGTGACGTGGATAGACTCTATATATCTTATCTTTGTTTTCTGATCACCTTCTGGATGGTAGGAATAAAATGTCAAAGGCTGTTCTTTCTGTTAGGCTTCTGACTTTTACATATTATGTTTAGCCTACCTATTTTACTACAACTTACTACAAGAGAATAATGTTCTTTGTCTTTCATGCAACCACACATATTTTTAAAAGGTTTTCTTTAAGTATGATGACTTTTGAAATGCATTCGCATCTTGTTCCCTGAAGCAGTTTACTTTTTGATTGATTTTTGATGTTTCATAAACTTATTTTTGTTACTTTTTTTAAAGAATGAAGTACTGGACATGCTGCCAAAGGAAAACATCAGACTTTGATGCTTTTCTGAATCAGGAAGGCTGTGAGACGGGTTGTCATAACTGGATCAAACCAAAGGTAGGCTGTCATTATAGTATTCATACAGTATAGCAGGCACATAGTGAAAAACGTACGGTGAATAGATTTTCAGATTTGTATTCAAAATGTGCACTCAGCGTAAACAGTTTGTACATGATAACAGAGAAAAAAAATGGCGTCAGCGAGGGTAGATCTAATTAAACTAATTAACCTGACTGCAAATTTCGTTTTCTGAAGAAGCCATGATGAAGCTGTGATGAAAAAGAGAAGGGGGGATGGGGACAGTATGAGTGTTGGTTACGACCTCACTTAAAGCTGAGGGCAATAACATAGGTCTAGGAACTTTATTGTATACATCACAAAAGTGTTTAGTGGTAGACCTAGCCTAGCAATGCACCTATTAGTCATTGTTGGCTCTTAACACTTTCCTTACCATGAGCAGCATTTTGCAGCTCGCGTACCTTGCGTCGCTGGACTGAGAGCCGCAAAATACGGCTCGAGTGGCTTGCTATCTATTCGAATCCAGTAATGAAAAGACACGAAGTTCTCGGCCAATCCACGTTTTCAAAATAATAGAATAGACTTCCTGTTAGCAGATACGAAAGAAAATATAGCACTGAGAGACGATTTTGAGTCATTTCAGCCCTTTTTTGTCCCCTTCGAAACGTTAATATGAGAAAAAAAAGCGCTACCTTGACTTCAGTATATGTCTCATATTTTCACTTCTATGTTAGGTACACAAACATAACTTCAGCATTTCTTCGCATTACTTGAGGGAACTTACCTGGGAAGTTTGAATGATGCTGTTGTTGTACTTTTTTAGATATGACCTTTCAAAGCTGGAAAATTTTTGATTTCATATGACACTTTCGATATTGCATAATCACTTTTAGAAACCAAAAGTAATATAATTGGAATAAATATTCAATATTGTATCGCCATCTGATGGATCATTTTTTAACCTTCAGTTTGATGGGCCATAAGATATGGTTTGTGTGTGTTAAGTAAGATATTTTGTCATTTTCCTTTGGCGGGGTAGGGGTGTAAAAATAGGTCAGGGAAAAGCCCTGGGCCAGTGGTGGATTTTGGCCTGGTAGGAAAAGAGTTAAGTTGGCGCCCAGCACACGTTCTTTTTAAATGTACTTTAACAGAGATTGCACACTATGTAACACCTTACTGTCTAAGTTAGGTCTAGGTGAAGTTGTAGCAGAGAGTGAACCATGTTCATTACATTATTATTTTTAAAAGATTGCCTGTTGTTCTGTTTAAGATAAAGGAAAATAATTGAATATCATTTACTATTGTACTATGGTTTCTCTCGGGGAATTATGTTACATATTAAACGAAGTAACTCAAAACAGGACATGCTTAATGATGAGCTTAAAAAAGGGAGAGGGACATCTGTTGATATATTCGATTGACATAAGCCACTTTTGTCTGTTTGCCAGTTATTGTACTTTTAATCTATTTTGTGAATCTTCAGAATTTGTCAATTGTCAAAAAGTTGCAAAAGCTCCTATTTGTATACTTTCTGTTTCTGCTGCTAGATGTCGGAAGAGAAGCAGGTGCGAATGGACTGGCACCAGACTCCTTCAACTGTTTGCTTATCCATCTTTGCCAAAGTGGCCATGCCAGATCGAACAGTGGTTAAAGCCAACCGGGTATGCTGCCAGGTTGACATTGTCTATGAGGGCGGGAACAACGTTTACAACAAGACATTTATACTGCGGGAGGTTAGTATGAGTTACAGCGGAGTCCACTTATAACGAGTCCTGAGATAACGAGAAATCTGTTATAAAGACACCATTCTAATTCTAAAACCCCATTTTTTTCCCTTCTTTATCTTAGTCTAGTAAATAAAATACTGCTATAGCGCAATCAGACAAACACACGAGTCGGTTATAGCGGAATATTGCTGCTGCTGTGCACAGTGCATAGGCCAGTTATACATGATAAAACCTCGCCATGGAAATGCCCCTTGTGCAGTGATGTCGGTCCTTCACACAAGTAAACAAGTAAGTAAACCTCGCCAGTTGAGAAACTTGTTGGGGAACTATCGAAACCCAGGACCTTACATCAACTCCTTGAGCGAAACAAAGAATGGGAGAGCCCACATCCCACATGTGCCAACAATGAAGGCCGGAGAGAATGAGTGGGAAGGGTGTGGTATGCGCAGACATGCAGAACGCATCGCGTGATAGGCCAGCCTAGTCTAGATTATCTAGGCCTACCACTACCATGCCTCTCACTTCTCCAATGCGGGGATGGAGAGGTCACAATGCTGTGATGGATGGAGCGAATGTGTGACGTGCGCAAGCAAACTGAACGCACCACGGGGTGTGGTGTGGTGGGGAACAACACAGCGGGCGAGTTAGCCTAGTAGAGAGCCCTTTCTGTCAACATTGCAAGCGCTAGAGATAGAAACCTGATTCGATTTTTGATCAAGTAAGACTGAAAGGTCATGTTGAACAATATCATCGTCAGGGGAGATAACAAAAAGAAATAAACAGAACACAAAACTCATAGATTAGGCCTACTGTATTATTTCCTTTGAATTTTATTACTGGATCCCTTATAACGACAATCCTGGTATAACGCACATTTCGCACCGGTCCCCTCCCTCTCGTTATAATAGGATTCCAGTGTAACAGAATGGGCTTGTAACATTGTGCACTCGGTAACCACTTATGTCTCCTTATAATGGAAGGTCAGTAAATGCACACTTGCACCTACTTTACCCAACTGTGGAGCAATGACAATGAAAAATTAAATTTTTATCGAAATTGCTTAGAAACAAGCTTAACTTTTTGCCACTTCTTTTTGGATCGATAACAACATTTATACTGCCAGCAGTGGGCAACGGGAAACCACTGCTGTAATATCCCAAGACCAATCATGGAAAAGTACATTCATTTATCAGATATGGTTTCTTAGGAGACTGCTAAGAATATCGTGGAAAGAAAAGAAATCAAATGAGGTAGTGCTTGAAGAAGCCCACGTGGGATGCTCAATGTTAAAAACAATCAGGAAATGACAAATGCAGTTTTTGGGACACCTGAATAGACATAAGGGTCTTGAACATCTAGCTCTCACTGGCAAAATTGAGGGCAAGCGAGGCAGGGGTAGGCCCAGAACAACATACTTAGGGAACCTAAACAAATGGGTAATAGGGAAAGATCAGGGAAACGTAGCTTTTTTGAGAGCATCCGAGCAAAGGAATGAATGGAAAACCATGATCGCCGATTTCTGTCGCAGATCTGGCACTGGATGATGATGAACAACATTTGCCACTTGGAGGCGCCGATGTGCGCCACCATCGCTAACCACCGTAGTCGCCGATGTGGGCCGTTTACACTACTTTCGTTTCTACATTGTCTCCAGGATTCCCGCAGCCTCCTTGAATTCAAGGAGTCCTTGAAAACTGCTTGAATTTGCTTTCAAGGAAAAATATCCCTGAAAACTCCTTGAATTTTGCCAGATCGGATAGGAACACGTGTACAGGGTGACTGCCAGGCTCCGGGAATCCCGGGGGCTCCTGGAATTACCCAAGAGTTTGAAGCAAATCACCGAGACCCGGAATGCAACGGGAATTTTAAGAAATCTGTAAATTGCCCCGTGAAAGACCCGGGAAAATACATAAACGTTCTCAAATATTTGAAAACCAAATCCGATAACGTCCTTGAGTTTATTTTTGCGGGTCGCGATTGTGAAAAATATAATATTCATTCGGCCTTTCCCGGTCTGAGAGTACGTTACACGCGCACAGGTGGTTATGGCGGGAACAAATGGAAGTGTTGTGTATGTGTGATACCGAAGCTCGATCGGGAAAATCAAGATTTACTTTCGCTTTCGTTACCACCAAGAAATTTGTCGGTAGGATCTATAGTAGTCTGATAGCGCCAATTTTGTAACATGCTGGTTCTGCATTACAAACGCTGTGTCGCCATGAAAATAATTCGTTTGTCCTGTGCTGTCACTTGTGAAAAAAACAGAAAGAAAAGGAAAGCTTCTTGTCGGGCTCGCCATCGTGACCGGTCATTGAACCTGTGTGTTTTCGTCACATCGTGAGTATCGGCGATGGTTGAGGTCACCAAAGTTCATGCAAAGTCTGAGCGCTGCGAAGTATAGGACTCGGAAATGGGGGGATTATTGATTTTTTTAAAAGACACACGCGGTGGGGGGGCTGAGGTTGAAGGCAACACCGGATGACAAAAACTGAACTTGGAAGCTGATTTTACTTTTCAGAATTTTGATTACTACTATCTAGAGCTCTCTGCGCAGCGCGCTTGGTGCAGGCCTTGTGTGGAATCAGGATCAGTCATACTCAAACCTTGTAAGCCGTGTTTTTGTAACTAAAGGGTTCCCGTTTCATTTATTGCACATGAAGGTCTATATTCTGTATTTTAACTTTCTGTTCAAGATTTGCAGATTTTCAGTGTCACTGCATCTTGCCCTCCCACAGTTCTTACACCTCTCTCACTGAATAGGTCTCCTTGAGCCATTCATGTTATTTTATTCTACTTTGAGTTAGAGCAATAATTTTTGTCTTTCACGTTTATTATAATATAGACCTTGACACCCAAACTGGTTCTTGACTGTGGATATTCTGGTTCTAGGCCTTTTCTCAGGCTCAAAGCAAGATTCATTTTTATATAGTTAATATAGGCGAATATGATGAGGGGAAAATATAAATAAGTAAGAACAGACTGAAATACCTAAGTCACAGTATCCCAGTGCCACTCTGACATCATGTTGTTGACTGGATATTATAATGTACCTACATGCGTGCGTGCCACGTGTGTGTGTGTGTGTATATTGTATTATTTATATAATATATAAATGGAGCATGCACTGTCATTGTTTTGTAACATGCCCCTGGAGAATGGATGAGCCTCTCCCCTCCCCCAACCGCCTGGAAAATTGAGAAGCCGGGTTGGCAGTCACCCTGGGAACAGTTTTTTGTAGGATGATCGAAACTATGATATGGTTCTTTTCGGACAAGTGTAGGCCTTTGAAAATAGGCTTTCGTCATGAATTTTTTGCCCGAATCTCCTTGAATTAAACAAATTTCTCCTTGAAACCTGAAACCCCCTTGAATTTGATGGGAAGTTCATGGCAGGAACCCTGTGTCTCGCTTCGTGCGTGGTCACACGGGATTGCCGAGCTTTTAGCGATAATCTAGAGTGGTTGCTCTTTACTGTCGTGTTTATTTGGTGAAAATCGATTGAAGCACACGAGAGTGGCGATTTTTTAAATTTCTCGGTTTATTAGAGACTTAAGTCTAACTTCGTGGACGAAATTTTGCATCTCTACAGAGTTGCTACAGGCACTGTATATGATGGAGACACTTATAATTGGGATTTAAGTGCCGATGTCGTCGACCAAGGGGCTAGATCTAGTGCTAGTAGTACAAGTAGTCACTCGGACACTCAGTCATGAGAGTGAGAGCGAGAACTAGGAGAGCAAACACGATGTCACAGATCTAGATCTAGATCTAGGCTCTAGGGGAGGGGAACAACTATGAGAGTGATGTTGATGGTGAGATCGTTGCTGGAGGTGATGATTTAGAAGACCCTGACGAAGGAGATAGGCCAAGCACCCACAGCATTTTAGCTAGATCTAGTAGGCTACTACTACGTAAAAAAAGAAGGGAGGAGCAACGCTGGGGCTGTGGGCGCTTCCACAACACATCCTTTTGAGCACGTCATGATCAGGATGCATGGAAAGAATGGATCGTGCCACTACTGTGCAAAGACCAGAGACTTTACAAAGCGTGGCAGAGCGAGTGAGACAGTGACAGGATGCAATTTGTGCCAGGTTAGGCTTTGCAAAAGACTGTGCTGGGTGAAACATCATGAACTTCTTCGTGCATAAAGCGAGTTGTGTCTTTTGTGGGGGGGGGGGGGTTCACTTCAGAATTTTTTTTTCCTAATACACAATGATTTTTCATACAAAACCATACATTTTCTTGTAGTTTATTCATTTATCTGTGCTCTGACACTTAAACTGTAATTTTAGACTCATGCTCTGATTTTTAATGATTTTTTAAAACATTATAGTCATGCAGTCTAAGCGGAGTTGTGTCCCTTTTGCCAGAATTTCAGCCTTGTTGGGCAGGGATAGCTCTGAGGGTGAAAGGGTTAAATTGAAGAAGAGTAAATTCTAAGGATTATAGTTTTAAAATTCTAAAAATCGATTGATAAATAAAAAAGTTATTGGGATTTTTGTTTGCAAAATTTTGAGGAAAATATCACCAAAACGTGGGACGTGTCTTGACATATTTTGAGGAAAAACTGTTCATAAGTCAGTAATGAATTGGAGTATATGAATGAAACTTGGGGTCTTCCTGTGATTTTTAGTGCAGAATCTAGTTCTGCTATCACTTTTTTGATGTCTTTATTACTTTGGGTCTTAAAGACTAATATTTGCGTGAAATTTTTTTAACTGCGTGACATCGTTTTTACTGCTACCAACCACCCCTTCTACAGCTCAGTAAAGCGATATCAGGAAAACCCGTAATGAAGTCATCGGTGACCTATTTAGTTATAGGCAGCCAATCATATGCCGCCTAGCATTCACACGCCTCCTGCATGCCTGCAACTCGCATTTTGAATCCATGATCTAGTTTCCAGCTCTAGTGTTTTATCAATGGATGGGTGGTAATTTTAAGTTGGCACGTAAAATGTACTACACACAGAGATTTGAAATTCTACAGCAATAAAGAAGACATGTGGGGCGCCTATGTGGTCGGCGATCAATCCGCAGCTCCGCTTAGTTTTCGAACCACAGAGGAAAATTGCACAAACTCAGCAATTTCTCCAGTTCTAGGAATCTTTCGGCATTGTACGCACGCATGTTGTTAGTTTAACTCATTGAAGACGTAAGTTTTCCACCGAAAATTTCCCTGGAGACGCACGATTCTTACCTATTTTTAAAAAATCAGTGTGATAAACCTATCAACTGTACAGGTATAAAATTTGACACAAAGTAAGATCATCATGTATACTTACGTAAAATGTACTGATTGTAGTCAATTGGAATGGTTTCAAACAAGTAATACAAAGTGATATTATCTCTAAGAATAGTGACACTGCCAGGAGCATTGTAGTCTCCTGAATCAATAATCCCTAGCGCTTCGTTGGTAGTGGAAGGAGCATCCAGCAGCTCTCTGTTTCTTGCTTATGTAAAAAGTAGGTCAGGTCAGCGTGTTTCGGCAGATAGCTTATAGCGGACGATTTGGGGGACCAATGGTCAAAGGGGTACAACCACAATAAAGTTAAATGGTTTAACTAACACTGGGAGTCATTCATAGTCTTTAGGGCATTTAGTCTTCTTTGAAATGACACAACAAAGACGAAATGGCTTTTTGTCTACAGTGTCTTAATTGCATTATTAAGAATACTTTTCCATTATAGAGGTTTTCTCTTTCCTTTACTGTTAGTAGGTACCGGAAACTAAATTTTTAAAGTGTGTGTATGCCCAATGTATCTTCCATATATGCAAGGCCTATGTCTCCTGAGAATTTCGGTACCATTCTTTTACCTTTCAGTCAATTTTTAAGAGAATAACTGCTGTTTTAAATTTGATAAAATATTGTTAAGTCGCTAATTGGCTGCAACCCCATGTTTGATAGACAATAAAAGAGTACCATCACAATCTCCAGAGTACAATCACTATTACATAGATTTTTGTCAATTTTCAAGACTGTGAGATCATTACAAATCAGTATTTTATTGCCTCAAACGTGATGATTTGTCATTATTTCGACAAAAACACAGAGCGCTGACCCGGCCGGCGACGCACCGGCCCCTGCGGCGAGCGAGTCGGCTCTATACTGTAGTGTTTACAGAGTGCTCCCCGTTTAGGGGGTCACATGCTTTCCGAGTTTTTTTGTTTTTTTAGTGTTAGTAGAGGTTTTATGGCGCTCGCAACTGCATGAGCGCCAGAAGATTAGAGGTGTTACAAGAGAGTAACAAACAAAAAAGAAAAAGGGGAGATAAGGACGATAGATGTTTGGTAGGAAAGAAGGAGTTTCACGGAAGGATTGATGCAAAGTAATTTCAAGCCGATGACTTTATTCTAATAGAAAATTAACTGATCTTTCTGTCAGTACCCTTTTTGAGCCTATATTTTACATATTTCGTGTTAAAAATTATTTTTGAAAACTTTGACGTTATGTTTAAAGGCTTTCCATTTAAATGCCAGAGGCCAAAAATATACCGCGGGAAAGCCCATTCAAAGCTCTATATATTCTCCGCCAATGGAAAGACGGTATTTAATCATCAATCTTTCCGTAAAGTATTTGAATGCATGCATGTAAATTTTTTAACTGGCCGACCACGCATTTCGACTGCGAGGGGCTTCACTTTCCTCGGCGATTTTTGAGCTCCAAGTACCCGAAGAAACAGCGATCTGAATTAACCTGATTTCACCGTAACCACACGCTCGGAAGGCAGTGAGTGCCTGCGAGGCCGTGTTCACGCTACCTACTGTTAGTCAAAGTTTTCCTGATTGTTTTTACAATAAAAAATACTTGTGTCACAGTTAATCAAAATGAGAATATGGTTGTGCTAAATATGGAGTTTCAATAGTATCAGAAAAAAGTCCAGATGATTAAGGTGAAAATATCAAGGTCTTTCTTTTGTTGCCCCCACCTGTTGAAAAAAAGAAAAGCTTTTTGACTTTACCCAAGGAAACATTTATGTAGTGCTAAATGTGATGTCAGCTCCAAGACTGGAGTTTACATTTTCAGATCGCTGCCTCTTAATTACACAAAGTTCAATCTGAAATTTTTTCGCTTCTTGAGTTACTATTACCATGAAGTCAGAAACCAATTGTTCTGTCTGTTCTACCAAAATTGTAAAATTATTCAGCGGTTATCAAGATATTCAAAGAATTCCATTCGTAAAAGCTTGTCATGATGTGAAACTCAAAATCTTTGTCGTCAAATTTCTCAATACTAGGTACTGAGCAGATAGAACTTCGTAATTCTGAGGTAGCGAAATGTCAACTGTATAAAAATAATTTTTTACAAGCTATAAACTTTTAAAAAAAATGTAGGTATTTTATGGCTCTTTCAAAACAATTTAGATCATTTACGAGGTGGAATTATAATACAGATCTCTTGTGAGGGGACAGCATTAAAATAAAGCAAATAATTAAAATCATGTCTAAATATAGATTACCTCAGAGCTTATGTTTTCTGAAAACAGCACAAATAATGTAGACCGTTATCTGGAAATGTGTTCTGCTATAGTTTTAGTGAGTTTTACGGCTCTTCAACCACAATAAGGCAGAAGATTAGAGATGTTACAAGAGAGTAAGAAACAAAAAAGAAGGAAAGATAATGAAGATAGATGTTTGATGAAAAAGAAGGAGTGAACCATACCAGAATACCCTCCACCCACCCACATGTTGCGTCTGTATAAAGTAGTATTTATTTTTTTCTTTTTATCCTCATTCTGTTCTTTCACAGGCTATAGATCCCAATAGGAGTGACGTGAAGCTGTTGGGAACAAAAGTGGAAATCAATTTGAAGAAGGCCTCAGCTTTTTCGTGGCCATCTTTAGAACTCCCACCTCCAGCTACATCGTCATGAGTCCACACTGTGTTCACCATTAATTTATCTTATGTTGTAAAAAAAAAGCGTTGTTCTTGGTTTATCTTGTTATTGGGGTGAAGTGGAAAAGATGAGTTTTCCCTTTTTTTCCAAGGCTGTCTTTGTTTTTTAAATTTTTATACAAATGTTTCAATTTGTTCTTGATGGGATAAAAGAAAAGAGATGAGAGTTTCTTCCTATTTTTTACTAGGCTGTCTTTATTAATAATTTCTTTTATATGGGCATTATTCTAAGCTAATTTGGAGTGTTCCTGTTTGAGTGTCCATTAGTTATACAGTCGAACCTGTGTAAGACGGAATCGCAAAGGAGCGGGGAAAAATTCCAGTCTTCGACAGGGGAATTTAGGGGGTGGGGGTGGGGGGGGGGGGTTCAAAGGCCCAGCCGGTGGGATCAAGGATCGCTTGTCCAATCGGCAAGCAGTGATCAAAACTTCACACCTCTCAGCTGCTATCCTGTCTGATACTGATAGTGACAGTGACATGCGTCAGTCTTACTTATCCAATTACCACCAGTGCTTGCCTTTCATAGGACCACTGTTTGACCTATCAAAAACAGATACGTTTGAACATCTCCTTCGCTTCCCCCCTTAGTCCCACCCACTAATGCCACCCCTCACTGCCATCATTGTAACAACGATTCAAGGAACTCTTTTGTCGGCTGGCCGTACGATCAGGGCGGCAGACATTGGTCAATCTAATTTCACACCTCTGGCTTATGGCTACCCAGGAAAGTTTCCGTAGTGGCTGGCTACTTGAGCACTCTCACGGGCAGTCGTGAGATATCACACCCACACTACCCTGACCATCTGCAGCGCTCAGTGCTCACATGATGGGGTAACTTAGGGTAACTTCTACTCTACCCCCATTGCACCCCTACTCCCCTTCCTCGCCCAGCGGCATGGCCATGGCGTTAAGTTTAGAGCCGGCGGAATCAAACTTGCGAGTTTTATTTCAAATCAGGGCTGTGCGGGCAAAGCATTTTCTGTCTTAGACGGGTGAAACCCTCGGAAGGGAGAGGATTTTTCTTTCCGTTTCCTCGTTGGACAGGTTTCCGTTTTATACAGGTAATTAAAGAGGAATATATCAAGGGGGGAGGGGGGAGATTCCGTTAAGACAGGTTTCCGTTTTATACAGGTAATTAAAGAGGAATATATCAAGAGGGGAACGGGGAGATTCTGTAAAGATAGGTTTCCATTTTACACAGGTTTCCGTTAAGGCAGGTTCGACTGTATTTGGGTTTATTTTGTAACAACGAGAAAGTTTGCTACACGGCGCACCGGCAATGGAATTTTAGGTGTAGCGGGGGGTTCCCTGCCGAGCGCCTTATCACGTCGGGGTCCCTGTCGCCGCTCTGTCTGGGTCGACTTCATTTTTGGTACTTTTCAACGTACAGTTTTAGGTGTATCCCTGCATTTATGGTAATTATCATTTAATGCACCCAAAGCACACATTTCTGCTCTTGAGACCCAAAAAAAACAACAGACATTGTAACTTGTCTGGTTATTTTGTTAGAGGCGTTGAAGTCGGCAATGCTAAACTGTAACAATTTTTTTACAAGTGTGAATGAAAAAAAAATGAATGAAAATAAAGCCACGCAACAAAAACTGTCGAACTTTTGGAACATGAACGACATAACAATGGTGCAGATACTCAGAAAAGATGGTATCTGCGCGTATAATAGGAAGTTGTAATTTTGCAACTTTATCCATCTGGCACGCAATTCGCTATGAAGTAATTCCTCCAAATACAACTTAATGTGTCTAATATAATCGTGAATATTCGCATATTTTCTCTAAAGTTTATCAAAATTACCCTGATGTCTCTTTATGAGAAAGTACAAACCGATTTTAGTGCCAGAGTACATCTACAACAATGCAATACACGAACAGTAGGCTATCAGTTACACTCCATAAATAATTTCTAGTTTTCCAGTGACACTGAATCAGCACCAGGCTTTTCCAGCTTTTTTTTTCGTTTTTATACCATTTACAATAACTGACAATATGTCTGACACAAAAACTAAGGATGAATGTGTTAACTGTCATTATTTTTATTTCATACAAGAAGTTCATCTCTACCCATGTATAATACTATTAACACAGTTGTTTTAAAAAAAAATCGCATAACATTATATCTTTCTTAGTTTTGATGCAGGCAGAGTAACTTTCTCTTGTTTAATGGTACAGTGGGTGTCGCATTCAACGAGGTCACATTCAACGAGAAGTCGGCTCGAACGAGGCAATCCCTGATTTTTTCCCCTCTATATATGTAAATATACGTCGGCTCCAACGAGGTTGCAAAGAGACCGAAGTCGCTTTCAACGAGGTCGCAATAACCAAATAAAAGCAATTAACTTTTTTAACAGCTCCAAAAGCGAATAATTTTTCTCCTTTCTCTCCATCTCATATTCTCAGGCAAAGAAAGCACAAGGCCCATCCTCAATTCCTAACACACATAGATGTACGCTATAAGTTTAAAAGGGGGTAACTCTATGCTAACACATTGTATTGCTAGATCTAGATTCTAGTGTGCCTCCTAATATGGACCCCAAAGCCAAGAGGATGGGCGAGAGTTAGCCTATGGTAGGGATGGGAGGGGGTGGGTGAAACTGGATGAACTCTGGATGGGTTGGTCTAGATCGAGACCTTTTTTTTTCAATTTTCTTTTCTTCCCCTGATCAGAAAATCCAAGCTCCTTCCTTTACTTTATGTAGATCTAGGCCTAGATGTGAGAGGGTATGTTTCCACACGAGAAGTGTTCCGGAAAAAAAATATTTTAAAATGCACAAATGACGGTCAGAACACGGCTCAAACACGCGCACACTTATGCTGTTTGAGATTTTCGTCATCAGGGGGAACAACTGTTTTAATTATTGGTATTGGTACATCATGTAATTTATACTTAATAACTTGTCTCTTTTTTTTTTTCTTTAGCCTTAGTCCCGTTCAACCAGAGGTCGGATCCAACGAGGACAACAAGCCGGTCCCAGCAACCTCGTTGAATGCGACCCCCCCACTGTAGAACAAGAGCTAATGCTGAGTGTCTTAGTTTAAAAAATGCAGATGTGCATCTTTCTTCTCTTATAACTTGCGCAGGTTTAAAGATTTATCATGGTAAAAGACATGATATTCGTAGTCAGTTTAACACATATTTTGGAGAGATCTGTCATGCTGTTTTAAAACAATCATTTATTCATGTAACTAAAATAGGACAAATTGGGTACTTTACAAACACTTATCTCAAAGAAAACTAAGGCACAGAAATTAACCATTCTAACGCAGAGTAAATCTCAAGACATTGAGCTTTTAGTACATGCGCGTAATGGTTTGCTGTGTGGGATGGGGAAGAAGTTTTATCGTTTCAAACGTAGACAAAAATGCGAACTTCTTAACTGACAACGGCAAAGTCGCTTCAGGGCTCATTAACCCCGTGACCCCGAGCCGGGGAACTCCAGCAGGCCGCTGAGTCACGCTAACTAAAGGTAACGGAATCGGGTGAAAAGTGACGCCGTGGCTAAGATTTTGAGATCTGTCTTATATCTTCTTTGTCGGTACCTTTGTCAAATAACTTTGGATCTCATTTTATCTTTTAGTCTCTACACATTTTTCCTTTTGTTAATTGTTGGTGAAAAAGTCTTACGTTTTAAGGATGAATAATATATGATGAGTATCAGTTTGTGATACTGTAGAGAAGGATGTGAAACAGGACTGTCTGTGACTTTTGTGGGAGAAATGCAGTCTCCTTTGGTAAGTTTGGTGTTTATTTGAAAGTAATAAAAAATTATTCCCTTTGCTTTGTGAATAAAGTCATGAAAGAAAACTGACATGGTTTCCATGTTGTTTATAAAAAGTACAGTGGAAACCTGATATAACAGGGATGATGGGAGTAGAGAAAATGTCCTGTTATCTTATCCCTGTTAAATCAGAAATGCAAGGAAAGTAAACATTGGTTGACTAATCCAGCTGTACTTATTCATGGGTAGTTTCCCTTGCCACAAGTACCCACGAAAACAGAGGTTTTGGCACCAACTTTCTCCTTGCCGCCTTAAACCACACCAGGAGAGCTTGGTCCACAGCATCTGCATTGGGTAGTCTCATCTTCTTTCGATCCAGAGCAAACTTCCCATTGGAGTATGCTGCCACTATATTCTCTCTATCCTTGATAATGGTGTGACCGTGAATCGACCCTTGTGGAAAGTCGAACTGACGACAAATCTCTGCAAGTGGAGCTTGCTTTTTGTCAACAGCCTGGATTATTTCGGTTTTTTTTTTTGTCAGTTGAAAGGCATTTTCGCTTGACATCGTTGGTGACACATTACGCGCGCGTGTTGCTACATGTAGGTTTCGGGCTAGATCGAGGTGTGCAGCACACCACAGCCCTCTCTCGCTTCACATGCTGCGTGTACTTGTTGTAGTGGCATGGCTTGCGTGGGCTTGCTCCATCACTGCGTTTCTCTCTCTCTCTCTTTTACACATTGTTAACGAGCCTGTGTCCCTACTATAACCGGTTGGGCTGCGATGAGGCCCTGTTATTGCCGATAACTTTTAATAGAGACAAAGAGTAGGAAAAAAACGGGGATTTAAAAAATCTGTTATTATTACCGGGCCTGTTATATATGGTTTCCACTGTAATCAATATATACAATATTTGGCACTGTGTTGACAATGCCGAGTTCCCTTTCCCTTGCTTTTAGCCCCAGTGATGATTAGGGTGCTGTTTTTGTACTCATCTTTTCTCTAAAGCCTTTTTCTGTCCCTAACCAGTGTTCATAGTGTCTCTCTTCAGTTTTTTTTTTTTTTTTTTTTTGGTCAACTATGAATCTTTCCTCAGTTCATTCTCCAGACCACTTACCGGTACCCCATGTTGCTATAATTACCTTTATGCTAAGGCAACACTTATACTCTACGTTTGACCAAATGACAGTAGGCTGTAGCCACAATGAAGATACATGTACCATTTTTTAGAGTCTCTTTACTATTTCTTAAAATCTAGTCTCAAGCTTGAAGAATGAAAAAGGACTGTAAGTGTAAGAAGAAGCAGTGGAGTCCAATACTGTTTACTTCTAGTCAACTGCTAGGACTGGTAAATAAAAGCAAAGATCTTTACAGTCGCTTCCAAGTCAGAGGAAATTGCTATAAAGAGACAATGGTTAAGGCTATTGCTCAGATAAAGAGAGCTGTCACTA